TTGTCCTGAATTTACATCAAGGTTAGTATATGGGGTGTTCCATCAGTATTGCAGCTTGGTTTCTGCCGTGTATCTTCCCTAAAGCTGGACTTTTTAAATTTTTCGGGTGCGTTGCGTAACGTTTATCTTACCTCAACTGGTTATATTTGTGCAAGCGCTTGCATTTCACAATCAGCGGTATTCATTTGGTGTGCCTTGCTGATGCCCTTAGTACCGATTTCAGACGGTTGGGATTTGCGTTGGTGCTATACAAGTGGGGTGGGCACACCCAGCTTTTCACGCATGTCAAGTGACTGCCCTCACCCCCCACCCCCCTAGATTGGCTATCCCCCTGGCTCACGAACTCCCCAATTCTCGTGACAGTATAGTAGCGAGTAGCAGTCCCAGAGACATATATTTCTGTTCTGTTGGCCTACCGTTCTTCTGTCAAGTCGTTTCCTCCGCATTGCATAGGGATGATGTCTAGTTCTTATCGGATAATTCCCTACCTGATCGTGGTAGAAACACCGAACTCTGCGAGTTATTTTTGCAGCGAAACTCATTTGGGCAATTAGTTTCTCTACAACATTTTCTCTTAGGCTGATGTCAGAGTCCGCGATCCGTCGCAGGTTTCGCTGATTTTCGCGATTTGCGCGATTTGCGCGATTTTCGCGATTTGCGCGATTTTCGCGATTTGCGCGATTCACGCGACGGGTCACGGAAATCACAAGTGCCCGATCAATACTGCAAGGTGTTCTCCAATCCCGCCGCCACTTCTGCTTGATGGTTATGGTTTAATGGAGACTGCTCATGATTCCACTTGTTTCATATCCAGTGTTTCAATTGTTCAAATGGGGCACTTGCAATTTTTGTGATTGGTTTGGTTTGATTCCTGAAAAAAATAGGAACGATTCAAGAGCATTTCAATGAACTAATAGACATTGAACATGAAACAAGTAGAACCACGTCTTCCAATCTTTACTGCCAAGCAGAATTCGCAGCAGGATCAACACCTCGCAGTATTCATCGGGCACTTCCAACTCCTGTGATCCATCGCAGGTTTCGCGAAAATCGCGCAAATCGCGAAAATCAGCGAAACCTGCGACGGATCGCGGACTCTGACATCAGCCTTACATATTCATTATTCATGTTCTCGGTATCTTGCCAGTTACCGAGAACATTGTTCCGGTCGTTGTTAGTGCTACTTCTGCGAGAGGATTCTGACTGGGCTGCTTTTATGGCTTACAATGTTACTTGCAATGTTCTAGTTCTTGCAATGAATCAGCGCTTGAAGTGCGGAGGCGATGTGGCGTAGAATTGCTGCCGCTGTTTCCTTTTTCATCATTAGTATGTACATGCTTATTCGCAGTAAATTTACCTAAACGGTTTCGCTCTGACTAAACTCTTGTGGTTTTGGATTTCTCATTAGGCCTCGTAAATATGAAATATGTTGAGAGATTCAGCAAAGCCGAAAAATGAGAAGAGATGGAGAAAAGGAGCATCACACATCATCTGAATATTCAATGCCTGATTATGCCTTTTCGATGATGTAACACGAGAGCAAATCGAGGGCGATTTTCTGGACTCTTATTCTTCCAATATCCTTCTATTCCCTTCGACCCTCTTGTGGGACATCTGTAATTCGGCGAAAAGCATGAGAATCGACTGATTTGCTACCGCTACCTTAACTTTTTTTGAACATCTTGTGAATAGTACTAGTTACCTGTCGACTCGGTTGGTTCTACTATTCCCCTATTTGAGAAGAATACGCGACTTTCCTTTCCCTTGATTCTCGTTATCTTTGACATCCATTTCTTTGCCCAAAATCCTTAGATCGCTAGTTTTCATAAAGTTGTGTTGAACGCAGCCTTATGCTAACAACTCAGAACAGTTCACGGTCAGAGATGCGTTGAACCTCCTACTAGCTGCTTGCGTTTTTTAATCAAAAGGGTACATAGTTCGACTACATAGACATAGACATAGACATGCTGCGGCGGCGGCTGTAAAAGTGAAACATGGCTAAACGGCCAAGTGACGGCTCTCTGAGAGCAAAGTGGAAGCGTTCCTACCGCCAACATTTGAGATGGGTGATAAATCATGTTGTTCCCGTGGACGATTCCTATAGTAAATGGAGGTCTACCCATCAGTTGCGTTATTTTCGTTTGTATTATAGTTTGATCTAGTAAGGGAGGCACTGTTTTTTCTTAGTGTTGTCGATGACTTATTACTAGCAGGTTGTTCCTGGTGATTTTCATTGAATATTTAAGGTTGTTACTGAGGCTTCATACGTGAATGTGCCTGTTATCTCTTTCTGCAACACCGAATCGCCATTGAAGCTCATCGACATCGCTATTCCTTGCAATAATAAGGTAGCTGATTTTTGTATGTTTCTTCCTCTTCGTAAGATATTTGAAGCGAATCTGTTTTAGGGAGAGCAATCTATTGGACTTATGTGGTGGCTGCTGGCTCGTGAAATTCTGATCCTTCGCGGAAAAATTTCGCGTCAGACCGGATTCGTTCTTGATGATAAAGAGATCATGCCTGACTTGTACTTCTATCGCGATCCTCAAGAGTCCGAGAAGCAAGAAGCCGCTGAAATCATGCCGGAAGTTAAGCCTGATTATGAAGTACCCAGTGAGGCTGTCGATTTCACTGCTCAGCCAGAAATCAAGGATTGGGCTTCGGAAACTGCGACATGGAACCCAGGAAGCAAACCAGGAGAGGCTGCTGGAGAATGGGGAGCTGGCGCACCAACGAGTACTTGGTGATGTGCACATTGTTTATGTAACAGTGGTCGATTACTGTTTGTTGTTGTTTGCAACATAAAATGTTATTTACTGTTATAATGACACAGACTTTGTTCATGGAGTAGTGTCCCACAATTCTCTCATAAATGTTATACTTGGGCATATACAAATCTGTGATAAAAGCAGTAATCTAGGCAGTCCTGCCATGACTAACAAGGGTGAATCTCAGGTATGTTATCGCCTGCTTTAGTCATTTTCTTAAAAATGATTTTGTGGGATTAGTTTCGTATTGTCGGTGTACTTTCAAAAGTTTAACGGGAAATGCTTCGGCAGGTGTTTTTTGTCAGTCTTTTTTTCCTGCTTGTAGTCATTATAGAATTGAGTGGAGCACAAGGTATGGTTTTGATCACTAAAGGTGAAATGTCGGAGTTGTGGGTATGGAGTTTACGTGTGTGCTAGATTCGTGCCATTTGGAATAGGGCTTTTATAGTTCTTGGTGAGTCGTTAGGTTCAGTAAGTTGGGGATAAAGTGATATGGTCACCACTATTCATACAAGCATGTGGAATGTGCTCAATGTGATCTACATGAATTGAAAAGCAAGGAGTAGAGGTACTTGAGGGTTAACGGTATGGATGGTTTTTCTCTTCTGATTTCGAGGAAATGCGCTAATTGCTCTCACAAATGCTTTTATCATTATCGTAAAATATTTTGCAAGAGTGTGCGAATGTAAGGCGAGAAATTCACGTAGTTAAGCGGCTTGCATTGGTTTTGCTTCGCCTAAGCTGCTTTCAGGAACGCTCCGCTTGCTCTCTATTAGCGTTTATTCTATGGGTATATGGTCAATAAATATTTTTCGTGAGCGTACGCTGTTTCGGTAGTGTGAAACTCTGTTTAGTGTGTTGTTGAAAATATTAGTTATCCTAATTGCAGAACATGTCAGGATAGCTTTGTTTGTTGGTAGACTTGGGAGGGAAATAAGGATTTCGCCACTATTGCATGTGGCTAGTTTCTTGAGTTTTCACTCCTGCTGATTTATCAGTTATTTTCACTAGTTGTCATGCATACATGATTTGTGAACTTACTTCGGTGCTAACTTAGTTGGGGGGACCACGCGGCGGCGCGGCGCTCTGTTCGTCTGCTCCTCTAAGGCTTAGTCCAAGGGGCAGTTACTATTTCGTCGCCACGTGGCAGTTTCGAAATACGCGCCATCGGCGGACTAAGCCTTGGAGGAGCAGAGAGCAGCAG